GGTCATCCCTGCGTCTAGCCGGAGGGAGCGGCGGCGAGCCCGCCCCCCCTTCGCCTCGGGGGCGGCGTCGAGGGGGGGGGGGGCAGGCTCGGGGGGGGGGGAGGGCGCGGGGTGCGGAGCCCCAGCAGTTCTGAGGCGGCAGCTCCGAGAGAGCCTCGGACGAGGGGGCGGGTGCGTGGCCTCCCGGCCTCCTCGGCTCGGAGGGGGGGGGGGACGCTCGGTGCGAGTTCTCGTCAGGTCTCGGCAGTCTGCAGAAGTTGCCGAGGCCCAGGGCGATGTCCGTCGGCTGCGCCTCGCCGAGCGGCCGCCGGAGGCCCGAGGTCTGGTCCAGAAGCTGGGGAGCGGAGGCTCAGTGGCAACGCGAGGGGGCGATCAGCTCACGGGGGACGGCATCGACCCCCGATCGCCCATGCTTCCACGGTCAGTGCCCGATGGCACGCCCAGGCCGGGAGCGTGCGGATTCGCCACTGGGTGCCTACAGGCGATGTGTCGCCGATGCCAGGTCGATGTGCCCCCCGAGCCAGTCAGCCAGTCCCCTATCGTTCCCCCTCGCTGGTCGTCGCCGCCGTCGTCGACGGCGGCGCAAGTAATGCCCCGCCCGCTTCCCCACGCCTTCTCAGCTGCGTCGACCGCGACAGCGGCCGATGGGCGAGGAGGGGGGGGGGGAAGGATGGAGATGGTCACAGGTGAAACAAGGAGACGACCGCCACCAAGCGCCCATCGGGAGGGGACCCCCCCCCCTGTCGGTGGCACGCCCGAGCGTCACCCAGTATTGGACGACGTTCAAGCATGCGACCGACCAGGGGTCGGCCCCCCCTGGGAGGGAGTGGAGGAGGAACGGAACAGAAGGGGACCAGCCCCTCGTCGTCGTCGTCGTCGTCGTCGATCTCGTCGTCGATCTCGTCGTCGATCTCGTCGTCGTCGTCGTCGTTCCAGGCTCGGGGAGGTCCGAGGGTCGAGGCTTCTTGGCGGCAGCGGTCGCCCACGTGGCGCCGACGGCCCACAAGTCCGCAGCGAGAGAGTCCGAGCAAGAGAGCTGCCTGGCGACACGGTTGTGCGGCAGGCTCGCCGCCGCGTCGAGGCGGCGGCGACCTGGGCGCCGGTGTCCCAGGCTCAGCGCCGCCATGTGGCTCGGGGTTGGACAGACCTCCTACCCTGACACGTCGATTGAGGAATTGGCCGTTTTCGGTTCGCTAAAGAGGGCGGCGCGGCCGTCATTCTTGCGGGTCCAGTTCCGTCGGCTTCGGTCCCGGGCCGTTTTCACGAAGGGGAGGTGTACTAAAGGGATGTTTGTCCACCGCCGAGTGGCCAGGGATCGGCCGACGTGGAACGTTCCGCAGGATCGGAAGGCCGCGGTGTCGGAAACCAACGCGCAGGCCGCCGCAACCACACGAAGTTGCCGTGCAGTGGGGGCCCGTGCCAAGGAACACCCTGCTTACCTCCAGGGTGCCCTGAATTCCTGGGTTTCGATGGTTTTGCGGTGGAAGGCGTGGCGCTCCCACACCAAGGATCAGGGGACATCCTGGGGTCTCAGGCTCAGGGTCGGGTTTCTTGTGGAAGGTCTCTTGTGGAAGGGCCCTTACTGTGCCGGGCCGAACGAGCTGGGGGGGCAGAGAAAGGGGGGTTACGAAACCTGCCGCATGCAGCCAGTTTCGGCCCCGCCGCTGGGCCCATGCCTCGACACATGGGCGCCTCCCGGCGCCGGGGGGGGCGCTGGGAACATCAGCTACGTGAGCTGATTCTCTACCCCTTTCGTTGCCCCATTTCGTTCCCTTTGCTATCCCCCCCTTTCGTTCCCCCCCTTCGCTACCCCCTTTGCTATTCCCCCCTTTCGTTCCCTTTGCTATTCCCCCTTTTCGTTCCCCCCTTTGCTACTCTCCCCTATCGTTCCCCCCCTTTGCTGCCCCGTTCGGTCCCTTTGCTATCCCCCCCTTTCGTTGAGTTGATTCTCTCCCCCCTTTGCTATCCCCCCCTTGCTCCCCCCGACTGGTAGCAAGACGCCCTCGCCGCCTGCCCGAGGAGGGGGACGCCGTCTGCGGCTGCGCCGGGGACGGGGGCGCCAGGGAGGCCCTGGGCCTGCTCCTGGGGGCCTGGCGCGACGACTCGGGGTGCCTTCACGAGGTCCTCCATGCGTCCGTCCTCCCCCCTCCCCCGAGGAGGAGGAGGAGGAGGAGGAGGAGGAGGAGGAGGAGGAGGAGGAGGGGAGGAGGAGGTGGAGGAGGGAGGAGGAGGAGGAGAGGGTAACTATTTCCGTTCCCATACGCAGCTCCCAGGCGTAGCCCCGGGGCCCTCGAAAACGACTCGAGACGAAACGGCGGTCTTTGGGGCGGGGTCCAAACGTCGGAGGGTACACGCTGCGAAAAAGCACAACGTCGGATGACTGAGCCATTCCTCCATCCCCTTCTTCCTCCCCCCTTCCTCAGAGGGTGAATTTTCTACCCCGCTTTCGCTTCCAGGCAAAACCATAACATACCACGCGCCTCCTCCTCCTCCTCCTCCTCCTCCCCTCCTCCTCCTGACGTTCTCCTCCTCCTCCTTCTCCTCCTCCTCCTCCCCTCCTCCTCCTCCTCCTCCTCCTCCTACTCCTCCTCCTCCTTCTCCTTCCCCTTCTGCTCGTCAAGGAACATGACTGTTGCGGGCCACCCCGCGGGTAGCTTGGTATCTGTTGGCTCCCGTTTGATAGCTAGGATGGTCAACACCGAGGTAGGTGCGTTTGCCTCGTATCTTGTTCCGCATCATAGTCGTCGTCATGCTGGATGCCGAGCAGGTGAGAACAACGCTCGCAGTCTCTCCGTCGCCCCCCCCCCCCCGCCCCTCCTCACTCCGCATTCCCTACCCCGCACTCCTGCCTTCCTACCTCCTCCTTCTTTTCGTATCCCTCCCTCCCATTTTAGGTCACCGACTGCTTACCCCCCCCCCCCCCCCCCCCCCAGGCCAGAGCCTGACAGTGCTCAGCACGAAGGGGGACGGCACGGTGATCACCTCGAAAGGGCGCGTGAGCATGAAGCCCGACGGCAGCGGCGAGATGCGCGTGCTCTGGGGCGTGACTCACGTCCTGAGCGAGGTCGTCACGCCCCAGCAGGGGTTCCCGCTCCGGGCGAGGTGGTCGGCAAAGAGCGCGAGGGGCAAGAACTTCGCGTGGGAGAAGCAAGAGGCGATCGGAGGCTGATGGAAAGAGGAGGAGGAGGAGGAGGAGGAGGAGGAGGAGGAGGAGGAGGAGGAGGAGGAGAGGGGGAGGTTTTTTGGGGTGAGGGAGCAGTGAGGAGGGGGACGGAGGAGGAGGAGGAGGAGGAGGAGGAGGAGGAGGAGGAGGAGGCGGAGGAGGAGGCGGAGGAGGAGGGCAGGAGAGGGGAGGAGGACGGAGGAGGAGCAGCAGGCGGAGGGGAGTGATTTTGAGGAGGAGGAGGAGGCGGAGGAGGAGGCGGAGGAGGAGGAGGAGGAGGAGGAGGAGGAGGGGGAGGAGGAGGAGGGGGAGGCGGAGGAGGAGGAGGCCCACCCTTCCGAATCGATTCGCGAGAGGCCCCTGTTCGCTTCGCGGGGCGGTGTGGCGACCGCCACCTTTGCGGGCCCGCGCCCGCCAGGTCTCTGGGCCCGGTTGCGGGTCCCCAGAGAGGGTCCCAGCTGCCAAACAGGCGCAAGCCCCCCATCGCGTTTCTATTCACGGCGCGAGGAGATCTGGGGGGGGGAACAAGGTAATACCACTACTCTGAGTTTGTTGATAAGCGTGGGGGGGGGTCCCCCCCGACGGGGGTCAACCTCGCTTCGTCGTCGCGCTGCGACGGGGGTCGGAGCGCTTTCGGCGCGCGGTGGCTGCCCGCGACGGGGGTCGATGTGGGGCTGTCGGCGGGGGCGACGCCCCCCCCGACGCTTATAATGAAACTCAGAGTAGTTGCCGCTACTCCGCGGACCTATCGTGGGTGCGTTCTGACCTTGATTTCGAGGCGGATCCATCCGCGGCGGCCAGGGACGGGCGGCAGTGGTTGGTATTGTTTCATGGCCACACTGCCCTGGGCAAATCGGGTACGTGATCGGGGTGAATCGCTCCAGGGCGTTCCAGAACGCTCTGCGAGGGCCGTGGCGCCCGATGCATCCCTCGGAGCCGCCGGATCTCAGAGATTGCGGGTTATCCCCATCCTGCCTTCCCAGGTCCTTCCGAACCAGGACCCTTGCAAGCCAGGGTCTTGACACGTCTGCCTGGAGAGGGCGAGGACTGGAGAAGGTTCCGACCCTCGGCTGCAGCGCTCTCTTGCGCGCCCGAGCCCTTCAGGGGCAACGATAGGGGGGATGATAGGCACAGGGGGGGATGCATCGGCCCCCAATCGCCCATTGATCGCCGATAGGGGCCCGATAGCCCCAACCTGCCCAGGAAGGTGCGGATTCACTAGCAGTGGCCTATCGCCGATCTATCGGCGATGCATCGCCGATTCCAGGCCGATGCATCCCCCCCCCCCTGTGCCAGACCCCCCCTATCGTTGCCCCTCAGCCCGGTTCATCAAAGTCCCCACCAGGTCCTAGGTCGGCCCAGACATTTGTCCGCAATGGTGGCTCGCTCGCTCGCAAGACTGGAGGAGGTTTCGACCCGCGGCTGCAGCGCTCTCGTGCGCGCCCGAGCCCTGGTTCATCAACGTCCCAGTCTCAAGGGCCCCGGCCTGCGTTTCTCAGGAGAGGAAAACACACACAGACACAATCAATCGTCGATTCCCAAGAAAATATGGGAAAATATGAGAAGTGGGAGGGAAGACGACAACCCAGAACATATGGGAAAACATTGGGATTTGTCGTTCAATTTGTGTGTATTTCTTTGTGTGTCCCAGGGCCCCTTCAGTTTCGCCGGGAGCGGCGCAGCGGCCAGCCGGCGTCGTCCCCGCCTCCAGGCGCAGCCCGGGGCTGCCGGGGCGCCGAGGGCGTAGGGGGGCTCACCGGGCGGCCGCGGAGCGCGGCGAGTGGCGCGCTGGCGCTCCGGCGCCTGCTGCTTTTACCCTTGCTGTCGGGGGCGGCAAAGAGGGGGGTGATGACCAGGGTTAAGTGCGGCCGGGCTTGTCCCCCTACAGGGGGGATTGTCGACGGGAGGAAAATACCAATATACCAATAGATATTTGAAGACTAATTCCCAAAAGAGTTCGGGCATTTTTCCCAACCCTCCTGCGTTGGGCTCTCGTTTTGAATAGAGCACTGCTCGCGCGTCTCCTTCCTTCCCGCCCCCCCCCGTCCCTCTCTTCCCCCGTGCCTTTGACCTCGCCATCCCTGGGCGGCTGCGATCTGTGAAACTGTCGCCACTTTCGAGGCCTGCTGGGGGGCCCAGCACAGTGGGTACACACGGCGGATTCAAATGGGACCTCGCCATCCCCGGGCGGCTGCGATCTGTGAAACTGTCGCCACTTTCGAGGCCTGCTGGGGGGCCCAGCACAGTGGGTACGCACGGCGGATTCAAATGGGACCTCGCCATCCCTGGGCGGCTGCGATCTGTGAAACTGTCGCCACTTTCGAGGCCTGCTGGGGGGCCCAGCACAGTGGGTACGCACGGCGGATTGAAACTGGACCTCGCCATCCCTGGGCGGCTGCGATCTGTAAAACTGTCGCCACTTTCGAGGCCTGCTGGGGGGCCCAGCACAGTGGGTACACACGGCGGGTTCAAATTGGACCTCTCCGTTCCTGGGGGGCTGCGATCTGTTGAACTGTCGCCACTTTCGAGGCCTGCTGGGGGGCCCAGCACAGTGGGTACGCATGGCGGATTGAAATTGGACCTCGCCGTTCCTGGGGGGCTGCGATCTGTGAAACTGTCGCTACTTTCGAGGCCTGCTGGGGGGCCCAGCACAGTGGGTACACACGGCGGATTGAAACTGGACCTCGCCATCCCTGGGGGCTGCGATCTGTGAAACTGTCGCCACTTTCGAGGCCTGCTGGGGGGCCCAGCACAGTGGGTACACACGGCGGATTCAAATGGGACCTCGCCATCCTTGGGCGGCTGCGATCTGTGAAACTGTCGCCACTTTCGAGGCCTGCTGGGGGGCCCAGCACAGTGGGCACACACGGCGGATTCAAATGGGACCTCGCCATCCCTGGGCGGCTGCGATCTGTAAACTGTCGCCACTTTCGAGGCCTGCCGGGGGGCCCAGCACAGTGGGTACGCACGGCGGATTGACATTTGACCTCGCCATCCCTGGGCGGCTGCGATCTGTGAAACTGTTGCCACTTTCGAGGCCTGCTGGGGGGCCCAGCACTGTGGGTACGCACGGCGGATTGAAATTGGACCTCGCCATCCCTGGGGGGCTGCGATCTGTGAAACTGTCGCTACTTTCGAGGCCTGCTGGGGGGACCAGCACAGTGGGTACACACGGCGGATTGAAACTGTACCTCGCCATCCCTGGGGGGCCCGATCTGTGAAATTGCTGCAACTTTCGAGGCCTGCTGGGGGGCCCAGCACAGTGGGTACACACGGCGGATTCAAATGGGACCTCGCCATCCCTGGGGGGCTGCGATCTGTGAAACTGTCGCCACTTTCGAGGCCTGTTTGGGGGCCCAGCACAGTGGGTACACACGGCGGATTGAAATTGTACCTTTCCGTCCCTGGGGGGCTGCGATCTGTGAAACTGTCGCCACTTTCGAGGCCTGCTGGGGGGGCCAGCACAGTGGGTACACACCGCGGACTCAAATGGGACCTCGCCATCCCTGGGGGGATGCGATCTGTGAATCTGTCGCCACTTTCGAGGCCTGCTGGGGGGCCCAGCACGGTGGGCACCCACGGCGGACTCACCTGGATCCTCGCCATCCCTGGGGGGCTGCGATCTGTGAAACTGTCTCACTTTCGAGGCCTGCTGGGGGGCCCAGCACCGTGGGTACCCACGGCGGACTCAAATGGGCCCTCGCCATCCTTGGGGGGCTGCGATTTGTGAAATTGTCGCTACTTTTGAAGCCTGCTGGGGAACCCAACACAGTGGGTACCCACCGGGGGTCCAAATGGGGGGGGGGGGGGGGGGGGGTAGGCGACACAGTGGGTTACTCACCGCGGACCACCGCGGAGTCAAAAGTGACCTCGCCACATCCCTGGGGGGGCTGCGACTGTGGAAACTGTGTCCGCCAACTTTCGGAGTCCTGATGGGGGGACCAGCACAGTGGGTACCCACAGGACCTCAAACTAGACCTCGCCATCCCTGGGGGGCTGCGATCTGTGAAACTGTCGCCACTTTCGAGGCCTGCTGGGGGGCCCAGCACAGTGGGTACCCACCGCAGATTCAAATTAGACCTCGCCATCCCTGGGTGGCTGCGATCTGTGAAACTGTAGCCACTTTCGAGGCCTGCTGGGGGTCCCAGCACAGTGGGTACCCACCGCAGATTCAAATTAGACCTCGCCATCCCTGGGGGGCTGCGATCTGTGAAACTGTCGCCACTTTCGAGGGCTGCTGAGGGGCACATCTCAGTGGGTACTCACCGCAGACTCAAATGGGACCTCGCCATCCCTGGGGGGCTGCGATATGTGAAACTGTCGCCACTTTCGAGGCCTGCTGGGGGGCCCAGCACAGTGGGTACACACGGCGGGTTGAAACTTGACCTCGCCACCCCTGGGGGGCTGCGATCTGTGAAACTGTCGCTACTTTCGAGGCCTGCTGGGGGGCCCAGCACAGTGGGTACACACGGCGGATTGAAACTGTACCTCGCCATCCCTGGGGGGCTGCGATATGTGAAACTGTCGCCACTTTCGAGGCCTGCTGGGGGGCCCAGCACAGTGGGTACACACGGCGGGTTGAAACTTGACCTCGCCACCCCTGGGGGGCTGCGATCTGTGAAACTGTCGCTACTTTCGAGGCCTGCTGGGGGGCCCAGCACAGTGGGTACACACGGCGGATTGAAACTGTACCTCGCCATCCCTGGGGGGCTCGATCTGTGAAACTGTCGCCACTTTCGATGCCTGCTGGGGGGCCCAGCACAGTGGGTACACACGGCGGATTCAAATGGTACCTCGCCGTCCTTGGGCGGCTGCGGTCTGTGAAACTGTCGCCACTTTCGGGGCCTGTTGGGGGGCCCAGCACCGTGGGTACGCACGGCGGATTGAAATTGGACCTCGCCATTCTTGGGCGGCTGCGATATGTGAAACTGTCGCCACTTTCGAGGCCTGCTGGGGGGGGCAGCACAGTGGGTACACACGGCGGATTGAAATTGGACCTCGCCATCCCTGGGGGATTGCGATCTGTGAAACTGTCGCCACTTTCGAGGCCTGCCGGGGGGGCCCAGCACAGTGGGTACACACGGCGGATTGAAATTAGACATCGCCATCCCTGGGGGGCTGCGGTTTGTGAAACTGTCGTCATTTTCGATGCCTGCTCGGTGGCCCAGCACAGTGGGTACACACGGCGGATTGAAATTGTACCTTTCCGTCCCTGGGGGGCTGCGATCTGTGAAACTGTCGCCACTTTCGAGGCCTGCTGGGGGGGCCAGCACAGTGGGTACACACCGCGGACTCAAATGGGACCTCGCCATCCCTGGGGGGATGCGATTTGTGAAACGGTCGCAACGTTCGAGGCCTGCTGGGGGGGCCAGCACTGTGGGCACCCACGGCGGACTCACACGGATCCTCGCCATCCCTGGGGGGCTGCGATCTGCCAAACTGTCCCACTTTCGAGGCCTGCTGGGGGGCCCAGCACAGTGGGTACCCACGGCGGACTCAAATGGGCCCTCGCCATCCTTGGGGGGCTGCGATCTGTGAAACTGTCGCCACTTTTGAAGCCTGCTGGGGAACCCAGCACAGTGGGTACCCACGGCGGGCTCAAATGGGGGGCCCAGCACAGTGGGTACTCACCGCGGAGTCAAAGTAGACCTCGCCATCCCTGGGGGGCTGCGATCTGTGAAACTGTCGCCGCTTTCGAGGCCTGCTGGGGGGCCCAGCACAGTGGGTACCCACCACGGACTCAAACTAGACCTCCCCGTCCATGGGGGGCTGCGATCTGTGAAAGCGTCGCCACTTGCGAGGCCTGCTGGGGGGCCCAGCACAGTGGGTACCCACCGCAGATGAAAATGGGACCTCGCCATCCCTGGGGGGCTGCGATCTGTGAAACTGTCGCCACTTTCGAGGCCTGCTGGGGGGTCCAGCACAGTGGGTACCGACCGCAGATTCAAATTAGACCTCGCCATCCCTGGGGGGCTGCGATCTGTGAAACTGTCGCCACTTTCGAGGGCTGTTGAGGGGCCCAGCACAGTGGGTACCCACCGCAAATTCAAATTACACCTCGCCATCCCTGGGGGGCTGCGATCTGTGAAACTGTCGCCACTTTCGATGGCTGCTGGGGGGCCCAGCACTGTGGGTACCCACCGCAGATTCAAATGGGGCCTCGCCATCCCTGGGGGGCTGCGATCTGTGAAACTGTCGCTACTTTCGAGGCCTGCTGGGGGGGCCAGCACAGTAGCACAGTGGGTACCGACCGCAGATTCAAATTAGACCTCGCCATCCCTGGGAGGCTGCGATCTGTGAACCTGTCGCCGCTTTCGAGGCCTGCTTGCGGGGCCCAGCACAGTGGGTACCCACGGCGGACTCAAATGGGACCTCGCCATCCCTGGGTGGCTGCGATTTGTGAAACTGTCGCCACTCTCGAGGCCTTCTTGCGGGGCCCAGCACAGTGGGTATCCACACGCAGGTTCAAACTAGACCTCGCCATCCCTGGGGGGGCTGCGATCTGTGAAAGCGTCGCTACTTTCGAGGCCTGCTGGGGGGCCCAGCACAGTGACGCCACACGCAGATTCAAACTAGACCTCGCCATCCCTGGGGGGCTGCGATCTGTGAAACTGTCGCCACTTTCGAGGCCTGCTTGCGGGGCCCAGCTCAGTGACGCCTCCCAAGCAGCTTACACATCAAGTCGATTGTCCATACAAGTTTCGGCCAACTCCTCGTTTCCATTGATACAAATGGGTTGGGTACGTCACAAGGTAATTTTGGGAGTCTTTCCCAACCAACCTGTGTTGTTGGGTCCCCGTTTTGCAGAGACGGTCCCCGCGTT